CTGGTCTTAAGAAATTCCCCATAAAGTTGAAGATAAGGAGGCACTAGCAGTAAGTATCAAAGGAATCTGAGCCACCGGCTAAGGCAACTTGTGCTTTCTGGACCTGCTTAAGCTCAGTCTCTTACAAACCATTTCCATTTGATGAGGAATTACTCTTGTGTATGTCCAGTCTTATGGATTGGTGGATCAGATAACACTCAGTTCATAATGGGCAGCTGAGCTTGCAGTCACTTGATTGTCTCATGGCCAGTCATTCAAATTCACTTAGCAAGCTAGAGACCATTCCTCAAATAGAAAATTGTTATCTGCAGAAGAGGGCATGGCTTGCTTTACAACTAAGGAATTGTAGATCTAATCAAGGTTCACCAGAGGCTCTATATAGCATCCTTATTTGCCACAGACACTTTAAGTATCACTGGATTCCTCTGGGTCATCAAATCCTGCTACAGATATTTCTTCTCCCCTTACTCCTAATAAAAAATTCCAGCCTTATGGGTTGCTGTATAAATGGGTCACAGTATCACACTCAGATGTGGTACGTATTGCCTCTAAAATCCAAAGATACCCAGAAAGTATTGTGTCTCTTTTCTTAGTGGTAGATGGTAAAAGGTGAAGTAATTTTTTGTCTTTTACCTTGGAGAGAATATCCTGGTGTTTTCTAGACCACTGGACCTCCAGAAACTTCACTAAGGTGATGAATTTTCTTGGGGGTTTATACCCAATCTCTGGCTCACATGTGTGTTGTTAAGGCAGCTAAAATATTTGTTACTTCCTGTGTATCAGGACCAATCAGTTTGATGTCTTTAACGTAGTGATCAAGACCTGTGCAGATGAGATTATGCCAGCGAGTGGGAGTGTTTACATCCCCTACAGAAGACTGTAAAGGTGTACTGTTGGCCTTGCCATATACAAGAAAACAACTTCTGGTGAAAATTGAAATAGATAAAAAGCATTTGCGATATCAATAGTGCACACCAGGTGCCTAGGGCTGTGTTGCTTTGTTGCAGTAAAGACAGCATATACAGAATAGCAGCTGCAACTGACATTACCATTTGATTAAGTTTACAACTTAATAACAAATCATAGTTATTCTCTAAGATCTTTTGCATAGGCCAAACAGGTGAGTTAAATGGGGATGTGACAGTATTATCATTCTGGTATCTTCTACATCTTTTCTGGTGGTAGTAATTTCTACATATTTCCAGGGATTGAGCACTGTTGTTGGTTTTCTATTCTGGTATCAAGAGGAAATTCCAGAGGCTTCCATTTGGCCTGTCTTACCATAATAAACTTTACTATGTGGGTCAGAGAAGTGATGTTGGGATTCTGTTAGTTACTGAGTATGTCTATTCTAATTAAGAGTTGAGGAGATAACTATAGTTTGGGTGTGCAGAGCTACTGGATCCACACTGATTTGTACTTGGTTAAAAAATTTCATTTATCACCTACCATAGATCCCCATTTCGATTGGTGGATCCAGTGGTGTTTGCAATTCTCAGGAATTAGCATTAATTCAGAAGCAGTGTCAGTGATCCCTCAAATGTCTGGGTATTTCCTTTTTACCCAGTACTCGCTCAGCCTAGAAAAAGACATCAGATTCCTTTGGATAAGGCTTGGATGAGGATTTGTAGTATATATTTATGACAATGCTGCAAGACCCTCCTGAAGGGAACCAGCTTCCCTTTTAATCAAGGAGCTCCGTGTCTGTGAACTCATTTAGGTATGGAAACTGAATGAAAGATAATTTCATTTTGATGGCTCAAGGGAGCTTTCAGGCGGCAGACCTAGAGTTTTGTCTGTTGTAAAGATCAACGGCTATTTCCAAAGTCTGCCCGTCTATTTCATTCCTAGGACAACCTAGGGCACTGGCAGATATACCTGTAGGTTAAGACCTTTAAGTGCTACTTTGTCTCTGCTGTCCATTACAGTAAACGTGCCCACCTTGTCTCTGCCAGCTAAGTGCTGCCTCTTGGCCATTGCTGTCGCAGGATCCCACAAATATAAAAATCAAGGAGCCATCTCAATGAAAGCATCTCCCACCATCATATCCAGCGACTAGAGAGTTTTTCTGATATTCTCTCTCAAATGTCTTTCTTTCTTTCTTTCCTTCCTCCCTCCCTCCCTCCCTCCCTTCCTTCCTTTCTTCCTTCCTTCCTTCCTTCTTGCTTGACAGAGTCTTGCTTTATTGCCCAGGCTGGAATGCAATGGCATGACCTCAGCTCACTTCAACCTCTGCCTCCTGGGTTCAAGTGATTCTCCTGACTCAGCCTCCCGAGTAGCTGGGACTACAGGTGCGAGCCACCACGCCTGGCTAATTTTTTGTATTTTTAGTAGAGACAGGGTTTCACCATGTTGGCCAGGCTGGTCTCGAACTCCTGACCTCAGGTGATCCACCTGCCTCAGTCTCCCAAAGTACTGGGATTACAGGCGTGAGCCATGGTGTCCGGCCTGTATTTTTCAATGCTTCAGTATAAAGATCATCATCTGGCTCTCCAGGAATATGTAGGGCTTAGTTGTACAGATTATACATGATAAAATTATTCCAACATTCCCATCTCCACAAACCTTTGGATTTCTTTCTCTACATTATACCAGCGGCATTCTGGCATCTCAAGTTCACCGAATATAGTCCCCCGCTGAGTCTGAGTCTCATTTAATGAAGTAAACAAACTGTTTGAATCACTGTCAGAGTACTGGCTAACACATTAAAAGCAGACCTTCTGATAAATGTAGTCATATCAATAAATTTTGCCAAATCCTCTGCTCCCTATTTTATTTGAAACTTGGCCACGAGTTGTTCAACCTTTCACAAAGTCATGTCACCTATGACAACACCGATCTTGATATTTGAATTGCTAACACTATGTATTCACATCTGTCTGCATTTGTAATTCTCATTCACAAAGCCTCTCCATAGAGGTGGAAGCATCTTACTGCTTCGTTTTGTTAGAAGACAAAGAGAGTTGTGTTGTACCATTTACCTACTGAAATACATATTGATTATAAATTACTTTCCTTTAATTTTTCCTTTATTGTACAATTAGGACAATATATTGTTGCTGGGTTTTTTTTTTTTTAAATTTGTATAGGTAGGTAATATTATCCACAAATTACTTTTCAGGATAGTAAGGGGAGTGTTAAAAATACTAGTTACAAAAAGAAGATGATGATCTGATTGGGCGGAGAACTGCTGCCTCCCCACATTGGCCCCAGGAACTTAGGTGCAGGCATGTCTGCGATGAATCAAATTGGATCTTGAGTGAATCTTCCAGATTAAGTCATATGTTATCACTCTTCTGAAAGATGGCTCTATTTTAGTAGAGAATGCAGGGTCCTATTCAGTTTACTTACAAAGCCATGCAGGATGTTCAGTAAATACACATACAAATAACAGCAGTGAAGAACTGACTCATAGATGCAACATAAACAATCTGTTGTATGTCTGAGAAAGGCCTTGTAAAGAATTTTTTTGTTTGTTTCCATGCAACATTGATAATAGAGGAGTGGAAGCCAGGAACAAGGTTCCCTGGTTCTTCTTGTCTGCATGATCTGAATTATAATCCACAGGACTAATAAAGGTACATTTGGGATTTAGCTGCTTTGACAACCAGAGTGGCTGCACGGTAAATGTGAGGATATTAATGCTCCTTTCTCTCCTGTCTCACGTGCAACCTTTGGGGGAGGTTCTAAGAGTAGGGAGGAAGACTGGACATTTGGTTTGTGAATATACAGGAGAGGTAGATGTTTGGTCTTGACCAAAGAATTCTGTAGCTCTAGTTTGCTCTTCAAAGCTGTTCAATGCTGCCCTACAGGTTTGCTCTATGGCCTGCCAGGGGCACACGGGGCTGCCTGGGAGCACTTCCTCTCCACTTGCTTACTTCATTCTGCCTCCTCCAGATCTCAACTCCTGTCACTTTCTCAGGGAAGCCTGCCCTCAACCCACCAGTCTGGTCTGATTCCTTTGTTGTGGGTTCACTTCAGAAGCATGTTTTCCCTTGAGATCCCTTATCTCAGTTTGTAATTACATTCATTAGCAGAGACTATGTGGTTTATGTTGGCATCTTCTGAGAGCAGGTTATCTTATTTATGCTCTCTGTTTATTCCCGTGCCTAGCCAGTGCCTAACAAGGTAGGGACTCAGTACATAGCTGTTCAATGAAAAAGTGTTTGCTCCAAATTCCAGAACTATCAACAGTTACTATGCTTACGAATATGACCGTTGTGTCTGCAGCCCATGGTGTTTGACAGCTGTCATCTATTTACTGAAGAGCTTGGTAACTTGGGGTTTTGTAGAAATCAGTAAGGACTGGTGGGAACACCCAAAAGCCCCATCAACTTGGTGATTTAGGACTGCTTTGCTTCTCCAGGAACTCCACTCCACCCCCACCAGCAAAACCAAACCCAGGGTGTTCGAATTTAACAATAGTATGTGTGTGTGCACGTGTGTGTGTGTGTGTGTGTGTGTGTGTTTAGCTGGAAGATGGCTGGAGAACAAGGTGGAAGGGTCAGAGTTTCGGTTCCCTCTACCCATAAATGTTTGAGAAACACCCTCTAAAGAATCCACTGCCTCCTGGCATTAAACAAAGAGAGCATCGGAATTGCAGTCCCTGGCGAGGTGGGATCGTCGGGGCACTGCCACCATCTGATTCTGGGTTAGGGGAAGGGGGCGTGACCCCGTCTCCCCGGTTAAAGTGGACGGGGTGTGAGTGACAGCCTTTCCTGCCCCCTCGGGGTGTGTCCCCGCGGGCTTCCCCACGCGTGTGTGTCAGACCCATCAGGGAGGCCCGCGATCCACCAGGGGTCCGGGGCCGGCCGGGCGGGGCGCCGCGTGCAGGTGCGGAAGGCAGGCGGCGTCCCGGTGCGGGCGCGGGGGCAGCGCCGGGGGCCGGGCTGCGCGGCGCGGCTGCGGGCGGCAGGAGGCAGCGTCGGCCCAGGCGGCGGGCGGCGAGCAAGCCAGCGCGCGGTGATGTCAGTGGCGGCCCGGCTGGCAGCAGCCGGTACTTCCTGTGGAAAGGCGGGCGGGCTCGGCTGCAAACCCCACTAGCCAGTGTCAGCCTCTCGGCGGGAGGAGGTGGCGGCGGAGGAGGAGCAGGGGGAGGGCTGTCAAATTCGGGAGCCAGATTTTTTTCCCTTCCCCTGGCAATTCCTTCCGCTTCCCCGGCTCCCGGCGTGACATCTGCGGGCCGGGGACCTGCATGTGTGTGCGCGCGAAGGAGCGGAAGAATGGCAGTGCTCAAACTCACCGACCAGGTAGGGGGCGGCGGCGCCGGCGGGCGGGACGCGCGGGCGCAGGGCGGCGCGGAGCCCGGCGGGGGGATGGGGGCGCGGCTGGAGCGCGCCCGCGAGCTGTTTACTCACGGCGAAGGGGAGGAGTGTGCGCGGCCGCCGGTGCCTCCGAGAGCCCGCGGCGGCAGCTCCCCTCCGCGGCGCCGTCCCCGCCCTGGGCCGTCGGAACTGCGTGCCCGAGTCCGGGGCAGGGCCCGCGGGCGCTGGGCAGCTGGGTCGCGGGGTGCGCGAGTGCGGCGGCCGCGGGCCCGGCGGAGCCGGGGAGGGGGCCAGGGGCTCGGGGTGCTCCCGGGACTCCCACCGCGCCGCGTTGAGTGGGCGCCCCCGGGAGGAGGACGCTGCACGTAGAGGGAGAAAGGATCGCAGACTGGGACCCCTTCCCAAGCCTAGCAGGAGTCCTGCCCAGAATGCGGCTCTTGTGTGGCGGGGCTGTCTTTATCCGTTGGATGTGACATCCCGACTTCCTCTTTAGTTGCCCCAGGCTGTGTGCGTGGTGCGGGATGGGGACCCTTGGAGACCGCCCTTTCAGATCGGGCCGGTCCCTCCGAGGAGGAGGTCAAGTCGGCTGGGAGTCTCCACTCACAGGCGGTGGGCTACGGTCTGCCTGTGTCCACCAGCTTTGTTGGCTTTCCTTGCTGAGATACCACACAGGGCAGCTCTGGAGTCCTGGCTTGGAGAGGTGGGGTTATTTGCTGAATCGGATTGACAGTCCTTGCCGCAGGTCTGTGGAATGGTAACAGCCACCTTCGCGGACTCTGTTGCTCTTACATTGACACTAACAGTTACCAAACCAAGTTGCATGACAAAACTCTTTGCAGCTCTTTTCACGAAAAAAGGAAACGGCTTGCCACCCCCACGCCCACCCCCGTTTATTCATCGGTAGTGAAAGGAACTTTGTTTTGGGGTCCTGGTAGGTAGAGAGGCAATCTTGACTTTGACCACAGGGTCAGACGTGCCAGCCCTTGGTATTAAATACCTCAGACTTATCCATGGGTTGCATCTGCTGCCTTGCGTTCTCCAGTTAGTATCCAGTCAGAACATCTTGCAGCTGAAATGCAGTCCGTCACCACAATGATTTGCAATGATTTGTTCTCCCGCCTTGTAGATTCCATTTTTTTTTTTTTTAGCTTGTTTCCCCTAAATATTTACAGGTGTTTGGCGGGTTTGGTGATGGGGAAATCACTGAGTTAAAGTTCACGTTATTGTTAAATTTAGTAGGAAGAGCAGCTGGTACTTGTGATGAATGTATTTGTTCTCACTGGTTCCAGAGCATTTAAAAGTGTAAGTTGATATCAGGATTTCCTTCACCTTTTGGTCACATACTTTGCCAACTGTTAGACATTTGCTTATTTTAAATCTTATAGTTTTAGCGTGTCTTGGGCCTGTCATCTTTGCTAGTACACGTTGCTGTACTTGTCTGTTAATCCCTAGATCTTCAAAGTACAAAGAATGGTTCTAATAGGTATTGTTGTTATCACGTATAAGAAAGAACATCACATGGAAGTTTAGAGTTGTAAGGACTCTAAGGATGATCTAGCCCAAACCCTTCATTCTCTAAATGACAAAACAGATCTGGAGAAGTGAAGCAAGTCTTCCTCAAAGAATGCCAGCTACAGGCCTGCAGGACTGGGACTAGCTCCTGTCTCCTGCCTTCCAGGCGCTTGTACTTTATGCTAGAGTTGGCATAGGAAAGCTCCATCATCTCACTGGATGTGTTGAAAGCGTTACAAGAACACATCTCTTCCAGATCAAGATCAACCCTAGTGACTTGGTCTTAGAAAGAAAGGAAGTTATTCTTCAGGGCTTATCAGAGCAGGAATTTCAAAGATGTTGCCTTCTAAAATGTTTCCAGCCGAGCGCGGCGGCTCACGCCTGTAATCCCAGCACTTGGGGAGGCCAAGGCTGGCGGATCACAAGGTCAGGAGATGCAGACCATGCTGGCTAACACGGTGAAACCCCGTCTCTACTAAAAATACAAAACATTAGCCAGGCGTGGTGGCGGATGCCTGTAGTCCCAGCTACTCGGGAGGCTGAGGCAGGAGAATGGCATGAACTCGGGAGGTGGAGCTTGCAATGAGCCGAGATGGTGCCACTGCACTCCAGCCTGGGCGACAGAGTGAGACTCTGCCTCAAAAAAAAGTGTTTCCAAGTATATTTCCTTTCTTCCCCCAATAAACCAGTATGAGTATGGAGAGAAAGGAAGAGTCTCACAACCTTTATTTGGTTATATCTCCAGATACATAAAAAGAACCTAAGGCATTTTAAGATTCAAGAACTTCTGAAAATGGCCAGTCTATCTTGGGGCAAAGTCAGAAAGAGATGGGGTGGGGAAGTGGCCTGGGTGGAGTTGGTGGTGAGCAACGATGGTTTCTGTGTAGCTTTAGGTCCAGGAAGTAAGTGTGTGGTCTTTCTTGCCTTATATAGTCTTACCTTTTCTGTTTGAGACTCAATTCTTAGAAGTCAGTTCTTAACCTCACAGATTAACTTTTAAAACCATTTGCTTAGACCACTACTAGAAGAGTTTTGCTCCATCATCGTGGGTAGGGAGCTGCCTGCTTGGAATCCCTGCCTTAGAGTTTGTGCAGGAGTGCCTTGCTCTCCATTCAGCTTCTAGTAAAACAACCACTTCTTAATTTCTCCCTCCCCAATTTTTTTTTTTTTTTTTGAGTCAGGGTCTCACTCTGACTCAATAGTATCATCATGGCTCACTGCAGCCTTGGCCTGCCAGGCTCAAACGATCCTCCCACCTCCGCCTCCCCAGCAGCTGGGACTATGGGCGCATGAGCCACCACACCTGGCTAATTTTTGTATTTCTTGTAGACACAGGGTTTCACCATGTTGCCCAGGATAGTCTCAGACTCTTGGGTTCAAACAATCCACCTGCCTCAGCCTCCCAAAGTGCTGGGATTACAGGTGTGAGCCACTGTGCCCAGCACCTCATCTGTTAAATACCCTATTTGTGAAGTGAATCTTGATTTTTTGCTAGGCCTCTTGGATTTTTTGTTTGAGGACACACTCTTGCTGTCAATAACCTGAAACACAAATTGTGTGGATTTGTCTTTAAATGTGGCCAAAGTCAGGGGAGACAGATGATGACATTTTCTGTCCAGCTAAAGCTGAGTGCAGGAGCTTGCTAGGTGAAGCAGACACTATTTCAGCAGTCAATCCTGCAGTGACCTCTCAATCTTACAAGAGAAGGAAAATGTTTTTTCCCAACCCTTTTTTTTTTAGAAGAGTAAAAAGAAAAAGGGAGAGACCAGTGTGATTTTTAGTCTTTTTTTTTTTTTCCACTGTAAAAAAGGAACTGGAGCTATCACTACAAACAAACGAACTTGGCATTTAGCACTTCTGCATTTGTAACTTTTGTAACTGTGTTCCTTCTGTTTTCTTCTTCACCGGACACACATCATTTTTCTTGCAGTCTTAGGGGGCACTAACCATCCTGGTTTGTGCAGATTGGTGTCCCAGCATATGGGGCTAAAACTGGGAAAATTCCAGGCAAACTGGGAGGAACTGGTTACCCTATGTAACATAGAACACACTCAACTATGTCATTAATATAATAATGTAATTATTTCCTTGTATGTGGACATTAGGAGTTTTATATTTTTGGTAAAGTGAGATAATTTTAAGTTTGGGAAAGAAAATTTTATTACATGAAGATCTAAGGCATTTTGACTCAAAGATAGCCATGAAGTCTTTTTGAAAATGATTTGATATTGACTTTTTTAGGTTGTTCTTTATGTCATATAGTTAAAGTCCCTGTAGTCATTTTAAGTGTATGGTCGTATCTTCAGCCTGGGTCTCTACCCAAAATTTATTTTCAGAGTTACGAAGCTAGGATGGTAAGTTCTGTTGCATGTTTAAAATGTCCACTATTCTTACCTGCATTTGTTAATGATAGCACTACTTTCATCTCGGAGGCTGCCTGTAGACAAACTGTTTCAGCAGGTGGCCCTTTTGGAGCTTCCTGCCTGGAGGCCTTCTGTTTTGGTGTTCCCTTGCCAAGTCCTAGTTCACACTTGAGTCACCTACCTTCTTGCCAAAGGCAGTGCCTGGCAGCGGTGGCAGTGGCAAGAGACTAGAAATCCTGTGTAACTTTGGGAGCAGGATTTCTAGCCCATAGTGCGGGGCCTTGGGACGTGTTACACATTTTATTGGGCTGCCCTTGTTCTTCCATCACTCCCTAGAGCACTGGTCTTAAAGCAGACACCATGCTGTAGTCCTGTCGTCAGCAGAGAAGAAGGGAAAAGAAAGGCTTTATTTAGAGCCTTTTCTGGTTGTTTCGGGACCCAATCACATGGTTTTGAGAGTGCACTTGAAGCTGGTGTTTCATGGCAGAGACCTAATCATGTCATACATTTATTGTGCTCTTATTGTATACTGGGCCTTTGCAGTGAGTCATGTCTTAATCCTCATAGCCACACTAGGAGGTAGGTGGTGGCGTGATTCCTATTTTATGGATGAAAAAACAGGAATGGAGAGGCTAATTGACCTGTTTAGGGTCACACACCCAATAAGTGATCTAGCACGTTGTCCTATCCTGGCAGTCTGATTGCACAGGTGGAGCTCTGACCACAAGGCTATACTTTTCATAGTTGAAAGGGCAGTGCAGCCATAGGATTAATGGGTGCCTGCTCTTGTTTACAGAGAAGCCATTGGATGAGCAGCGTTCCCTGAACTCCTTCTGCCTCTTGGGCCAGACCCATTTCTGTACAGAGTCAGGAGCTGCTTTGAGGCCTCTGCCCCTGCCTGGCTTATATCTGGCTTTTCCCATTAGCCTCTCCACCTCTCCACCCCGGTGAATGATGTGTTGGTAGTTCAGTGACTTTTTTCATATATGTGTGTATATATATAAAACAAATGAACCGCAGTCATTATAGGAAAATCAGAAAACTAGAGGAGCAAAACCCAAAATTTTTTAAACCATCTGAAGCCTCTATACTCAGAGATAACTATTCTTG